TAGACTTTGACTCTTTAGGCTGCTGGATATGTTTGTAAAGTTTATTATGAGCTGACTTGTGAACAGAGTCTCCACCTCTGACCTCTGTTCCTGTCCAGCACTGTAGTTTACTGTGTGGACGGATGGACAGCAGAGACCAACATGTGTCCTCTCCCCTCTCGTGGTGTCTGTCCATGCAGATCCAGCAGCTTCATTTGTCTCTCTGAGAAGTAAAGCAGTTTCATACTGTAGGGACTCTTTCCTCAGTAGAAGTAGTTCAGACACAGTCTGAGTAGAGGACGGACAGACTGGGGACACATTTGGAAAACAAGGACAAAGATTCAAAGCTTCTAGGAAATAATAAACTTCACATGTTTAATATTTCAGCTGTTTGTTCAGGCTCAGAAATGCTGATGTCTGTATTCAGATGGGAAATAATATCAATAATCAATAATCTCCAAACAAGCAGAAAGCAGATGAAAGTAAAATGTCTCCTGTCTGATGGTGCGGAGGACGACTTGACTGACAGCTGTAGAAATGAGCAACATGAAGTCAGCGTGCAGCTGCAGCAGAGGAGTTAGTCTCTCCTTTCTGCAGCTGGGACTCAAGTTGTCTGAGAACAGGGTTTGAAATGCTGCTGAGTTCACATGTGCTGTTTTATAGAGACCTGATCTCTGCTGCTTCCATCAAAAGATGTTTGAACAACAGGAAACATTACAAGTCCTGACTGGAGGCTTTTCTCTTTCTGTTCAGAGACACAGGAGCTGAAGGTGAAGCCTGGAGAGGACGCCACTCTTCAGTGTCAGAGTCACAGAGGTGCTGACCATAGAAGTGATAAAGTGGATCAGAACTGACCTGAAGTCAGATGATGGTTATGTCTTCTTCTTCAGAAATGACGGCGTAAGTGAATCTTATTCTGGTCGAGTGGAGCTGAGAGATCCAAAGATGAAGGACGGAGACGCTTCTATGATTCTGAAGAACGTCAACATCAACGACACTGGAACATATGAGTGTTGGATTGCAGTGAAAAACTCAGGACGCAGAAGAGAGACGCACCTGAACCCATCTGCACCATCAAGCTGACAGTGACAGGTGAGTGTGTAGAGCTCAGAGTGTCCTTTGTCTCTCAGGTGAGCGTGTAGAGCTCAGAGTGTCTCTTTGTCTCTCAGGTGAGCGTGTAGAGCTCAGAGTGTCTCTTTGTCTCTCAGGTGAAGCTGCTTCCTGGTAGTTGAGCTGAGAAACATCAGATCAGATGTTTGTGTTTTAGAAAGATGTTGCTGATGAGACTTTAGAGGAAACAGCTGCTACGAGTCATGTGATCAAAGTGCAGTAGATAATGTCTGACATTCTGTTCACCTGCTGACAGCTGATACCTCACACCCGTTTCTGCTTCTCACACAGATGGAAATGTTGGACTGATGGTCGGTCTGACAGTTGTTACTGTGCTTCTTGTTGCTGTTGTTGGAACGATACTCTTTAAAAAACGCAGAGGAAAAACATCTCACACAGGAGGACAGACAGACGCCCTAAACCCTCCAACATCAGGCTGACAGATCCAGTGAGTGTGTCGAGCTCAGAGTGTCTCTTTGTCTCTCTGTACCACGAAGCAGGATTTGAGCTTATCCAGGTAACTTAGGGTTTTCAGCACCATGACGATGGTTCACTTCTTACCGGGGTAGATCGCCATGGTAACTTATGCTGAACGGCTAACCTGCTCTGGAGCAGGTTATGTTCCAGATAAGAGATCAACTCTATAAACACTGTCCGCCTACTGACCAATCAGCTCTCTGGAAAATGACATCACCATCTGTAGGAAATCACACAGACTGTTTATGTTTTCTGCGGTGAAACTATTGACATCATCCTACAGACTGGTTGAAGCTCTAAAACCATGTAGGCTACTACTTGTTGTAGATTTTTAAGATGTGACACTAAACCTACTCTCCACTTTGTTTTTTTATATATTTTATTTACCTACGTCTGTTTCACACATCCTCTCACAGACGTTAAAATAAATGGGTTTAAGTTTTCTTTTTATGTGAGGCTGAATATTATGAACATATGTTAGTTGATTTTAACATCATGTTGTATTTGTTTCTATATTACAGAGACCTTTTGTTATGTGGGGGAATTTACAGTAAATAATGAGTTTCAGTTTTTCGCCACTAGTATTATTACTATTAGCCTCTTTTTATATGAACGCGCTCAGGGCTGGATTTTGAAACCCTGTGTTGACTTACCAGGTTAATAACCAGCATCATGTGACCATTTAGCCTGATCGTGGTTGTTAGTATCCGTGAAGCCAGATAACAAAAGACATCCTGGGCATGTTGAACTTGCTTCGTAGTAAAGGCTCCTGGTAGTTGAGCTGAGAAACATCACAGATCAGATGTTTGTGTTTTAGAAAGATGTTGCTGATGAGACTTTAGAGGAAACAGCTGCTACGAGTCATGTGATCAAAGTGCAGTAGATAATGTCTGACATTCTGTTCACCTGCTGACAGCTGATACCTCACACCTGTTTCTGCTCTGCAGGTCACACAGCTGGACACAAGGAGGAACCACCGACGGAGGGAACAAGGAGAAACACTGATGTTTCGGTGGGAGCAGCCAAACTGAAATAGAGACAGCTGTGGCTCAGAAGGAACGGAAAAGTTTAACTAGGTAATGCCAAATATATTGTGTTGTGTTGGTTGTAGCTCACAACTTCTCGTCAAGTCTCAGTGTGGAAGGGAGCGGTTTTGTGTTTCGTGAGAATTGTTTCTAAATAAGTCTGCTATTGAACAAGACTGTGGTCCAGTCCGCATGGACACCGGTTCACCGGCTTAAAATCTTCACCCTGGCAGGAGTTTGCAAAAGTGTTCGCTTTCAGTGACCTGATACTGCGTTTCTATGTGGATGAATGGCCAAACTGCGTTTTTACCCTGTAAACACCCGTGTTCCCGTACACAGGGCCTGTGTGAGCGCTATCTCTGTAAATGCACAAGTTGATCTCTCTGTCTACTCAGAACTTTGTATGTTTATACATCAATACTATATCTGTATCAATACTATGTACTGATTAAAAATGTGACTAGTTCTTTATTGTGGACGTGTTTACATTTGCTGACGTTGTCTCAAAGCCTGGAACGAAGGTACGCTGCAGATTATAACTCTGGTTTCTCCAGTACTGTAAACTGTAGTATAATCCACAGCACATTGTACCTGAACAGTGTTTCTGTGCACTGTTGACACACACGGTCATATCTTTGACTTAAAACACAATATTTACAGTATAAAACTGCTACTGTTACTAAAGTACACAATTATTCACTAAATGTAACCACTTGCCATAATGTTGGCAGATAAATCTGTATCAATGCTTCATGTTGTAAAATATTAATCTGCGGAGTAACATTAATACCCTGTACATGATTTGATTTCACAATGTTTTTTTTATATTTCAATGTAAATGTCTGTTTTCTTGCCAATAAAGCTTCACTGAATTAACCCACAGATGTCAGATAAATACCTAAATCATTTTCCACCAGTTTTCCATCAGCTGTTGATCTGAACTGAGCTGTAATCAAGAGCAGTTCAACCAAAACACAAAACACATGAGGTCCCAGGTATCCGCACAGATTTCAGATTACACACATGTCAGCGTTTTTGGACTGAATTACTTTAAATAAGCTCCATTAAAAAAATCTGAATCTCACTGATTTCTAAACTTCAGGACACAAGTTTCTTACGGTCAAGGATCCCGGGGCAAAAAGTGGCCCAGGAGTTTGTCCCTGGTCAGGCCACTCTGTGGACCAAGCATCAGTTTACCATCATGCTTACCATATTACTGGTGCTGTGGACTCTGACTGTGTTGTGTTATTGCTTCACCTCTGCTGTCTGTCTCATCTTCACATGTCAGCGTTATTACTGGTGCCGCTGGCCTGTGGCGGGTAGAGTACTGAAATCTTTACTCGAGTAAAAGTACAATTACTCCCATAAAAAAATCAATCAAGTAAAAGAAAAAATGACAAACGTACTCAAACAAAAGTAGCCCTATCATATATTTAATAATATGTAGCCTGTGGAATTAGATGCCACACAGGACATAATTACTTCAGGGGTTCTTGTAGCTCCAGGTTTATTTCTGACCACATGTGCAGGTCATTTCACAGGGTGATATGCTACTGAGTCTTTAACGTAACCAGCTCAAATGCTGAATTTCACAGTTTCTAACAGCCAAAAATATTAGAAGAAAGAAGAGGCAGAATAAAATACAGTAAAAATATGGTAGAAAATAGAGCAGTGGGCTATGACTATCGACAGAAAACATAAAATAAATCATGTTAACAACCATAAACCCACTTATATCAACATCAGTGTAATAAATGTGCAACTGTAAATGACACTTACACTTCACCAAGTTCCACCAAACCCACAACTCAACGCACTTTCAACGTCTGTTACCTTCAGAGTTACAATTAATGTAAAACCTGTAACATTTCTCGAGTGAAAAAGTACAATATCACGGTGTGACTTAATGCACGCTGGCATTACCATGAAATTTAGTACACAATGGTCGCCCAAAATCCCAGCATACAGTTCCAGTAGTGCCTAAATCAAACCATCTTGTTAAAATACTGACAGGTGATGCCATTATATACGTGTACACGAATATTTAACAAGATATACATGCATTTACCTACTGCTTTACACAACGAAGTCAGCCAGTTTTTCTGTCATCAACCATGGCCGATATACCAACCCAGCCGGCATATGACCGACCTTCAACGTTGAAATATGGTTGAAATAATGTCAGTTGTTGTTTCAACAGTGAAACAACGTTGATATAACGTTTAATGCTAAATGGTTGAAAAATGTTAACAAAAACACTTCTAAATCAACGCTGAAATTTTTACAAGATCTGTACGTTGAAACAACGTAATGTTTTCAACAACATACAACATAAATATCTGCCTTATAAAGTATTATTATGATCATTATTAGCATTTAATGATATTCTGATAATACCACCTTTCAATATGTTAAAATATAATTATTATCATTATAGACAACTCTCCAATAATCAAGCTGAAACTTTTTGCTTTACGTGATTTTGTGTGGATTTACTGTGTGCTTGCCTAACAGTTTACCATGCATTTTTTATTCAAACGCTGTCATGAAAACACCATTTGACCAATTAAATAAATAAATACAGACTGCAAATAAACTAAATATACACATTTCGCTACGTAACCACGCTGAAAATACTGTTATTGGTTGTTTCACCGGTGTACTTCATGATTGGTTAATCTTTCTGTCTTCCAGGAAACTAGCCAATGACAATATGCGCGCCTATTTTAAGTTTAAAAATACGTCCGTTACTGTTTGAGTAGGTGTGTGAGGTGAGCACGAGAGCTCGTTTTGGAACATCGAAGCTTGATTGGAGGACAGTGGTTGTCCATCACACAAGGCGGTGACTAGAACTGGATTCTATTGGCTCAGACGGTCCAGACACTTGCGCATGCGCGAAGTGGGTCTGTGTCGTCGTCGTCGTGAATTTGGAGGTAACAGCTCAAACGGTAAGCAAAGTTTTTAAAGCCACATTTTATAACTAGAAATAGAAACAAAATAAATTTTGAGTGTGCCTGAATCTTGTCCATATATTAATACGTATTGTGTTAATTAATATTGGGTGTTTGGGCAGACTAGCTTAACCGCGAACCGCCGTTGTGTGTTAGGGATGTCTCTGTTGGTCGAAGGTGGCACATTGACACACTTTCCATCCACAAACTTGAAAAATAAGGTTGAGATTTCACATTCTTCTTACTTCTCTTTTCCAGAGATTTGGAAGAACACGAACTGAAAGTCTCTTTCAACGGTGAGTTGTCCCCATACCTAACCCAACCATCTATATGAATCTGAAAGTAACTGTAACCCTTAAAAAAAAAATCATTTACATTTTTGTAAAATTGTAATACAGGTTGATGTGGAAGATATTATATAAAAAATGAGCACAGCCTACCTAATTGGATTTAATGTTTTATAACTTATTTTCAAATTTAATGATTTTGTTTATAAAACATTTAGGCTTTAATATATTGAGTTTTTATTTTCACTCCTAGATGTATCACAAAAAATGGAGACGACAAAATGCACAATTACGCGCATTGGTGGAGTCTAGTGACTCAGATGAGAATCCAGGCCCCTCAGATGAAAATCCAGGCCCCTCTTTTACACAGGAGCAGTCTGATACAGGAGAAGACGAGTATCGAGATGATCACCACCCGCCGGACAGTGATGGTGAAAGTGATTCAGAAATTGGAACTTTGTCCGAGGAGGAATCAAGTGATCTAAGAAGTGATTTGGCAAAATGGGCTGTAAAAAATAAGGCGTGCTTTGTATCTGGAAGTCAGAAATACGACGGAAAAACAGACGCCGTTGTGTTGCGCACACAGCTCGGGGAATTTCACCGGTGACAGGATATCACCAACTACAGGTGTTTCATCTCCGCTGCAGAGCGCTTGTCTGTCTCCGGTGAGTTTCATAATTTTGTGTATCAAAGTCTGAATTCATGCTACATACTGCAACTTTTAAAATGCTCGTTTTCTGAATGGAATTCTGATCGATCAGGGCTAGGCTAACAAAATGCTAACGTTGTAGTTGCTCCATCAACACTGAAAATAATAGTTATAACTTTAAAATTACATAAACCCACTGGCATTTTATGACAGCAGCTGTGCAGTCATATCAGTAGATTTTATACCGACTTCCACCACAGTATGTTGTAATGGGAATTATGTTGCATGTAAACCTGGACTCAGGGAGACTCATCTGTGATCTGGCACTGAATCTGTGTAAACAACAGTCAGAATATCTCTGTTCTCTGTGTTATCCAGACTTCAGGGACAATGCGTCTCTGTGGGATGATAAGATCGACCCTAAAGCTGGATAAATAACAGGCTCACTAAGCTCTCCTCCCTCATTCGAGCATACATGTGTTTTGCTATGAGTCCTTCTGCAGAAGACTTGAATAAAACTCACAGAAAGACAAGTGTTTGTCTGAGCTGTTTATTTAAACACGCAATTCCCACCACAATTTCACACGTGTGAGAGGACTCGGACACTCGGAGCTGCAGGTGAAAAACCGTACGGCCGGAGTCTGAGACTCTGGGACTTCAAAATACGGGTGAGACGTTGAGGGCCTGTCGCCTGAGTGTCTGAGGTTCCCTCACCGCTGTGATCCATAAGAATCTGGTGGCAGGCAACATTTTCTCTTTTTGGTGAGCAGACTGTTCAAGTGGAACGATTCTCGCTGCCTCTCAGGGTGAAACGTGACAGACGTGTCAGCAGGTCGGGCTTGGGGCCGCTGTGTGAATCGGCAAAGCTTTGTGTTAAAGGTACTATAGTGAAGAAATCACTGGGGGGCAGTGGATTTCTTATAGGTCTGGGACCTACTGTTGCATCAGTTCTTTTGGGTCTGGGACCCACAGTAAAGTAGGGGTTTGTGAGTCAGAAGACTCGCAATAAAATTGAAGAAAATTATTTTGAAAATAAAAAAAATAAAAAAGATGCATGACTGGATTGCCTATAAAAAATTGAGTGAGGATTGAAAACAGCCTTGTGTGAATGAATTGCGTCTGGGAAAAAAAACAAAAAAAAACTGACAGACCGTGTGAATGTTGAACAAATGCTTTTTGTAAACGGGAAAGGACGTCCTCAGATTAACAGCTTTGTTAAATTTTAATAGAAAACACGTAAGAATTTAGAGATAATATAGATCTGTGAACGATCTTTCCTAGGCGCCCGGCTTCAAGGTAAGGTCCTCATAACACAAGACTTTAAGAAACCTCCCAAATTTAAATCAAAAGGACTCGGTTCCCCCACAACCACGTCAGCCAAACCCTGCTCCACCTGCCGACCGACCAGTACCGGGGCGGCA